GGGGGGGGGGGGGGGGGAGAGAGAAAGAAGCTGCAAAGCTTCTTGTGACCTAATCTGAGAAGTCACACACAGTGAGTCATGTTGGCCATATTCTATTCAAATTATATCTAAAGACAGTCACCAAGTCTGGCCCACATTCAAGGGGAGAAGAATTAGACTTCACCTTTTGAGAGGAGGAGGATCAGAGAATTTGCTGGCATATTTTAAAACCTCCACAGGGTGGGGGAGGGAGACAACTGGGTGAACGGGGCAGTGCAGGGAGGGAGATTTTCACTATACACATCTTCATACTGTTTGAACTACGTATTTGACTATTTTAGTCATATAATAAATTACATTTCTTTGACAAAGAAACATAAGCTATTTGGTAAAGAGTTCGAAGAGAGATGAAGAAAAAAAAAGTTGAAGTGGATGTGAATGGGTGAAAGTGACCTTTGCCTGGACTCCTTGGTGCCCACCCTGCGCCCCACCCTCCATTTTGCATTTTCTTTCCAGGGCCGGGCATGGTGGCCCCTAGGAGTTCTGGATAATGGATTTGTGGAGGGGAAATCACTATCTAAACTACTCTTTAGCCACAGCCTGTGGTCACTGTTTATTTTAAATGATATTGGATGGCACACAGTGCCTTTTCTGGATAACGTTTTACTTACAAGCTCCACTCTTCTACTCCCAATCCCCTTAAGTTTGACAGCTATTCTTTAATATAATTTGCACAAACTGTCAAGCACGCCAAGAGGATTTAACCTAGTAATTATATTGAGAGGCTGAATGTGCACAAAGACGTGGCATGAAACCCATCACGTTTATTGCCTCCATAAAAGACCGTACAGGCCGAGTGTACAAACTTGGGCAGTACTAACTGTTCTCACTGCGCCCTGGTCACTTCACAGCACAAGGCGGAGGAGGGAAGAAAAAAGTTTTACCAGCAAAACCAGTCCATTCGCTGTAACCTCTCCACCTGCGGGAACACTGAAAGTGCACTTTCAAACCTTCTAGATGCCGTTGCTCCTTGGGAAGGGTCCGGGATCCGGACAGGGCGTGCCCTCTCCCGCCCCACCAGCAGCGAGGAGAGTCCTTCCTGCCAGTCGTGGGGACCCCGGAGTCCACGCGGGATCCCGGCAACGCGGCCGGGGAGCCCCCTCCCACACTGCGGCCTCTGGGGCGCTCAGGCCACAGCCCAGCTAGTCTCTGGCTCCAGTCCGCGGCAGTGAGGGGCGCAGGGGAGGAGGACGGAGGGAGGACACGTCCCAGGTGAGGGCGGGGAAGGACGGGCGGCGGCGGCGGAGGATCCTGGCCGCGGGGTCTCGGCTCGCCGCTTCCGGCCCGCCCCGCGCCGTCTCTGCCACATCCTCCGTGACGTCA